GAACAGAAGCTGGCTAACGTTATTCTAATCTACAAAAAGTGTGTGAGGAAGTCCCAGAAAGCTACAGACCTGTTAGCCTAACCTCAGTTCCTGGAAAAATTGTACAGAAGATTACACCAGGTGCTACTGAAAAGCACTTAAAGAACAATGCATCCATCAGGAACGGTCAACTTGGGTTCATAAAAGGGTCTGTTTAACTAATTTTAGTTCTAAAAGTCCCGTTTAATTTTATATTCTTCTACAATAGGGTCAACTGCCTATTGGATAAAGGGAAGACCTAATTTTTCTGGATTTTAGTAAGGCTTTTGATACCATCCCTCACAGCATCATTGTGGACAAGTTGTCCAAGTGTAGAATGAGCACCTTCCTGGTGCACTGGGTGAAGAACCTGTTAAATGACAGGGCTCAAAGGGCTGTAGCAAATGAGGCTGCATCTTGCTGGCAGCCAGTCACCATCAATATTCCTCAGTGTTCAATTCTAGGGTCTGTCCTGTTTCATACAGGCATCAATGATCTGGATGCAGGAGCTGCATGCAGCATTAGCAGGTTTGCTGATGATATCAAACTGGGATGTGCCGTTGACTCTCTGAAGGACAAGATGCCTCACAGAGGGATCTGGACAGATTGGAACACTGGGCAATGTTTAATGGGATGAAAATTAACATATCAAAACGCCATATTCTGTATCTGGGACAGATTAACATCAGGCACAAGTATAAATGGGAGAAGGAGTGGCTGGAGAGCAGCTCTGCAGAGAGGGATCAGGGGTGCTGGTGGACAGCAGGCTCAGTAAGAGTCAGCAGCATATCCTGGGGTGCATCACAGTATAACCAGCTGGTCAGAAGAGGTGATTATCTTGCTGTATTCAGCGTTGGTGCAGCCTCACCTTGAGTGCTGTGTGAAGTTCTGGGCACCACAATTAAGGAGGACGTGAAGGTCCTTGAACGAATCCAGAGGAGGGCAACAAAGCTGGTGGAAAGGCTTGAAGGCATGTCCTATAAGAAGCAGCTGAGGACTTTGGGTTAGCTAGTTTGGAGAGAAGGAGGCTCAGTGGCAATCTCATTGCTCTCATTTTTTTCCACTCTCCTTCCAGGTGTGGGCAGTGACATTGTAAGAAACAGACAGACCCAGTGTACTACACCTAGCTCCATGGCTGCTGTCATCACCACATTTTTTATTTTTATTTTGATAATGACATGGCCTGCACAGCACCAGGTCTGCTGGTGTCAGATGGGATTCACCTTTCTCAAAGGGGGAAAAAGGTCTTTGCTCAGGACCTCGTGGAGCTCATTGACAGGATTTTAAAAACTACACTTGAAGAGGGAGGAGGATACTAAGTATTATGGGGAGTTCCTCTAAGACAGACTGTTTGGTGTATAACAAATTGGTTGGATGGTCACATCAAGAGGGAAGTGATTGATGCCTCAATATCCAGATGGAGATCTGTGAGAAGTGGTGTCTCTCAGGGATCTGTACTGGCACCAGTGCTGTTTACTATCTTCACCAATGACAGTGGCATGGAGTGCAACCTCAGCAAGTTTGCAGGTGACACCAATCTGAGTGGGGCAGCTGACATGCCAGAGGGATGGGATGTCATCCAGAGGGACCTGGACAAGCTTGAGAAGTGGGCCTGTATGAACCTCATGAGGTCCTGCAGCTGAGTTGGCCAATCCTCACTCGGTATCCATACAGGCTGGGGCATGAAGGGATCCAGAGCAGCCCTGCAGAAAAGGACTTGGGGTACTGGTGAATGAAAAGCTGGACATGACCTGGCAACGTGCACTCACAGCCTAGGTGTTTCTAGTTTTTGGCTTTTTTTTTTCATTTCTCACTATCCTACTTGGTTATGAATTGGCAGTAATCTTTCTCAAGTGTAGTCATTCATTTCTCACTATCCTACTTGGTTATTAATTGGCAGTAATCTTTCTCAAGCGTAGTCAGTTTTGCCTGTGACAGCAACTGGTGAGTGATCTCTCTGTCCTTATCTTGACTTATGAAGTTTTCATCTTATTTTCTCCTGTTGTCTTACTGAGGAGGAAAAGCAAGAAATCAGCTTGGTGGGCAGCAAGGCCAACTCACCAAACTCTCACTGACAACAACAAACTGAAATAGAGCAGAAACACTGTTGCCACCAGCCCTCTTCCAGGAATACTTTGCCTCTGGGTTCAGAAGTTCTCTGCTGTCCTCACAACTGAAGACACCCATCAATTACCATCATGTCGAGTCAAGAACAGAAAGAATATAAGTAAAATGAAACGGTCTCTGAGGTGGAAGAATCACAAAGTTACTCTGACATGGAAACAATTACCTTGGAGAATGCTAGGGAGAATGCACTGTTCTTAACACAATAACTAACTATTGATCAGCCAAGCCTAAACATTGTCCAAGAGAACAAATGCCATCTTTTAAACAAACCAATATAAATGCATGGATAGTCAATACATTCTAGAAATGCCTTTACAAGAACTTACCTCTCTTTTTTTAGCTTCATTTGTGCTGTACTTTGGAAAGAGATAGGAAAAAATATTCCCACAGCAGCAGGCAACATGTACCAAGGGACCCTCTTTTCCTAAACTCAAACCTGATGCGACAGCCAAGACTAAAGTAATGGTTTTTATCATCAAAGTCCACTTCCCCAAGTAACCTCTGATGATGAAGCCACTCAAAATAGTTTTTATCTGGAATAAAGAAAAAATAGCATCTGTTGTTATATTTCGCTTTCTCCAGAAAACAATTAATTTTACCATCTTAGCTGCACAGCTTCAAAAACAGCCTTTTCAGCTCAAACATGTCGTTCAGGCTGCTACACCGACTCTGCTTGGTTGCCAGAGCCTTTCCATTTGCAGCTTACTCTAGAATGCTGGACAGTAACATACAACATTATCCATTACATTTAGTAGAAAATTAATCTGCAATAGTTCTAAGACCACATTCATTGGTTGATGATGTAAATTATCAAATGCAAGTCATAAAACTCCAGAAGGAAAAATACACCTATGAAAACCATATTGAAGGTTATCTTTTGTTGTAATATCCCATTTGCACCAATTTTACCCCTCTCCGTTTTCTCCTTATGTTTTACCATCTCTACAGAAAAATCTAACAGAATATTACTTCACATAAAGATGGAAGAGATCAGTCTTTTTCCACTAGAAAAGATGTACCACTTGCTTAAGTTATTACCTTGCCTAATAACGTCCCATTATTAGCCTGGATTCTATGCCTGTATATAGGAAATAATATGGTTGTCATGGCAAAGGATGACATGTCTATAAAGAGGATTCACACAAAACACTGGGCAGTTGTATCTAGAAAGTAAAGGTTAGCTAAATTTGGAAACCAATTTAGGATGAAATCTCCTCTAGAATAATGGCACAGAACCACTCCAGGCTTATTCAGACACAGGATTTATGCTTCAACTTCTACAATATGCATACATAAAGAAATATTTTCAGAGTGACTGGAGAAGTGAGACTGACCAGATTCTGACTTTGGTGTTTTCCCTCCCATTCTGTGTCTAGTAGTAGACAGTAATTGGAAAAACAAAGACATTTTCAGCATATTACATACATAATTTTGTGACCGTCTGATGGTTTGTGCTAGTTAAGGGAACTAAAGCCAGTGCAACAGGAGGTCAGTTGCTGTGTCAAAGGATGCATATTCTGTCAATGAACCTTCTTATCACCAAAGGCAGGGTGGGGATTGGAGGGAAAAAACTCTTCAAAAGGCTACTCTCTTAAGCTAAATACTTCCTTAAAAAGTAGTCCAGACAGAAGCACATGACAAAATCTACACATTCAAGAGATTCTCTGAAATTTGGGTAGTTTTTCTCAGCAATAATTAGCACAATTAAATTATTTCAATTTGAATATTCATCAAAGTGACAAGGCATTCCCTCACCCCTTTCCCCCGAGCCTGTAAGGCAGCAGTAATTTTCACATTAATATGAAACATCTATAATGCAAAGTTAGTCCTCACCTCAGGTATCCCCGAGCCACAGGCATAGGGAGCAAACACCTTCACCAGAGAAACTGCTAAGAAGGCAAAGCTCAAAGCCCAGAAAATGTACATTATGTAGTTCATTATGTATGAACCTGGACCCTAAAAAAAACCCAACCAAACAAACAAGAATATTAATTTGATGTAGGAGCAAAATCACTACTTAAAATAACCCAGAAGTAATCTTGCTGCAAGTACACTTAGGCATACATTTGAGGGGACAGCAGTTATTACCAAGCCAAGAAAGAGTTTTGTTTGAAAAACATGAAATGATGACACCTGTACATCAGCAAAGACTGACTTACATACAAGGTATAAAGTGTTCTAATACTTCATCTTAAAAACAAAAAATAAGCATAGCACAAATATTTTTTAAATAGCTATTAGCTGCTAAAATCTACTGAATACTGAGTAAGTCTTCTTCATTTTAAAATACTGTGGCAGAAGAAATAAAACCAATCTATTCTTAAGTTATTGGAGAATACCACAGATTTAATTTTAATTTTTTTATGTATAGCTATGCTCAAGAACAGAAATTCTCGTGTTATTAACAGTTTTATACTCTTGTAACTTCCTTACACCTGGAACACTCCAAGCCCCCTTGCAGTGCATGAAATGTACATTTATTACACTATAACCTAGTAACCAAATGCTCAGAAATGAAGCAGACAGTATAATCTGTGTTTAGTACTCTAACCTTGAGATCATTACTTTCTTTGCACGTTCAGCCAAGCTTTTGAGCAGGACCATTGAAGAATGTGCATGTACTTACTTCTGCTTGCCCAATTATTAGCTCAGCCCATGTTTTCCACTGCGGACACTTATCTCTCTCTTCAAATGTGGTTTCATTTGAACCCCAGCAACACTGCTCATGGTTAAACCACAAAGCACTAAGACAAATGCCTTCCTTTAAGTCAGTCATCCAGTCAGCAGCAATGTCAATCAGTCCCGCCAACGCTCCTGTTGCAGAAACAGTTCTGTATTAACATTCTGGTAAATGGGAATAACACACAGAGCTAAAATGAAGAAGTGTGTTGGTATTAACTGATGTAAACTGAAATGACAAAAAGCCTAAAGAAACAGACATTTAAAATATTGATTTCCAGGAATGTATCCTACTTATAATATGGTAAGATTAGTATTTGCTGAAGAATCTAGTACCTTGTATATAACCAAGTTAAATGTATCCTTTTTGTCTCTCTTTTCTTTCCTATGCCACAATTCACTCACAGTCCAATCAAACTAAGGAGTTAAGAATCAAAAGAGGACTGATACATTTTTGTGATTAAAAAGACAACAGACCTTCTGACAAAACTATCTTGTCACGCCTCAAAAAACCCATGAACTATTCTATCTACTATGTTTCATACAGAATAGTGTATTTGGAGAAAATAATTCTTACCTTGACAACTACAGCTTTAAAACAACATAAGTAAAACACCAAATAAACCCTGATGACATTCATGTGATCCACATACAAGGTTACTTAATTCTGCAGCAAGGCAAGCATGTAAAATTCCTACTGCAGGTAACAAACTTATTCACAAACTCAAAGCTTAAGAGGGATTCTGTGTTGTAACTACATGCAGAAAAAATTGCTGGAGTCTTCAAAAAATAGGCATTACTTAGAAAAGTAAAAGGATTTAAAACAAAATTAAACTCCTCCCTATTTTATAAAAGCTAAACAGTTTTTCATGGTAGCAGAACACTGAAAAACTATTTCTAAAGTCAATATTTTTGTGAACATGTACAACTACTAATTAGTTATAATTTATATTTTTAAGGTACTAATCACTACTACAGATAGCTGTCTAGAGACGGCCACAATGTACTTGTGTTAATTGGTAGTAGATAATTACCCAATTTATTAATTTATGTTTACTAATCTTGAAAGTCCCTCAGTTTGAGATCCTGGGCCAACTGAATTCGAAGACAGTATTTCAGTAGAACAGAATTTCAACCAAATTAATTAAAATACGTAAGTATAAGATCTCCCCATGACTGAATTTTAATATATGTATAGTTTGCAGGGTGGAAACATAACACTGAACATTCCCACCCAAATTATCACAAGCAATTTTCAGTAATTACACACTCCCAGTTTGTACATTATGAGGCATATAGACAAACTTCAACATACATTAATTTACATGTGATTTGTGAAAGTGATTATGTGTATATCTAAATAGTAGTTACAGTTACCATGCCCTTTTAACAGGCATAGCCATACTCTGCAACTGATCTGATTTTCCTAGCATTTAATCTAAGACCTCTGATATACTTTTTTTGAAAAATCAGGCACAAGTTTTGTGACTTCTCACTCATGCACATTTTGGTCACTCCACACTGCTGACAGAAAGCAGCACTGCATGACAGTGGGGCCTACAATCTGTCAGATGATTTTACCTGTAAAACTCATCCTAAAACATATTAAAAAGAAAAGATAGAGTTGAAGTAGAGGCCAACAAACTCTACATGTTAGAACTAGCATCAACTGTGTAAAAACCTCTAGAAACGTCTGACATAAACACACAGCTAGACTTGGCTCATGTATAAACAAATGCCTTACAAGGAAGTGTGTTTATCAAAACAACACATGCACCAGAGAGATGTTTTGGTCCATATGGAATAAGCTAATGGGTTCAGAAAAGTTGCTAGCAAAAAAAAAACAATACTTCCAAAAACCAAAATCAAATTCATAGCAGAAGAACCATCTAGCACAATCAACTAATACACTTTCATGTAAAACCCTACAGGAAAAAAGCAAAATTTAACAGCAGGGGAAAACACCAACCACAAGATTAAAGAACATCGATCATTTAGTAGATGGAATTTCAGTAACTCTTAAGAAATTCTCACTGAATTCATTGAGGATTTTGTTTTCCATTTGATTTGTAAACCCTCCACTCAAAATACTAAATCCTGTAAATCAAGATAGTCAACCTTTCCTGCATGGAATTATGGCAGTAGTCTGAACCAAGTCTTAACCAGGTTGGTGGATAACATTGGTGGATAACACACAAATGAAAAGCACAGGAACTATACTTGCTGACAAATCTAAGAAATAAATCCTCTGGTTTTTTACTTACCTGATGCCAAACCAGTTAGTGTGACCACCAGCCATCCTGACCATGCATCATACAAACTTTTTGTCATCTCCCATGCTGATTCTTTCTTCTTACTGTTAATCTGCAAAGAGAAATTGTTATGTGTACTGGTACATGTTTCTGTAATATGATTAGGAGAAAAAAGTAAGTATAATATACCAACTGTATGATGTGAGATGCAACCAAATGTTAAACTCTCTTTAAAGCACTCTCCTTGTATTTAGTGCTTTACATAGATAAATTAGCTCAGTTATTTAGACATCAAGCAACAGACAGAAGAAAGTGAATTTGCTTAATTTAAAGAACTAAAACATAAGAAATGCATGATTAGGATAAATTAATACTTTCCATCATACACATCTAAAACACCCAGCTATAAAGTTATTTCTCTCATAAATCTTAAATTATTTTTGTTCAACTTCAAACTGTTAGTGTACGACTAATAAGCTATTCCATACAATTCAAATTGTTAAACTTCTATTTCAAATAGAAACATCTTTCTTTTATCTGTAGACTAAAAACCACACAAAGATAAAACAAACCCCAAAAAATGGATAAGTATCCTATAATACTTCTAGACAACTATTACTAGTAACTAGATCTAAAGTTATGGTACTGAAAAAAAAGTACTTCTTATTTTAGCATTATTTACTTCATTTTGCACACTTAGATGAAATTTGTGCATAACTGAAATGCTGGGGTTTGAACCCCAAGCCCTGAATTAAGGTTGCCATATGGGTGATCCCCACAGCCCTTCATCCAGAGGGGTGAGTTTGCCTTAGAGCTTCCCCCCAGGGTGCGGCCGGGCCTGCAGGGAGAGCCAGAAGGGAAATGAGCCCCAGGGGTCCCGCAGGGAGCTGACAAAGGTCAGGGCTCTGCTGGGGGATAAAAGCTGGGACCACTGGCAGGGAGTCAGGAGTGTCTGTCTGTGGAGTGCACTCCCCAGAGCTGCCTGGTTCAGGGCAGACCTCCTGACTCTCCTGGAGCTGGGCCTGGTCTGTTTAGACCTTTGTGAACGTGGGCTGATCAGGTGAGAGTTGCCATGTGGGCACCTTTATTGTATATGCTTAGCTTTCTAGTCTGGCTGTTTCCCATGCCAGCTGTGGCAACCTCGGGTCTCTGTTTGTACCACCTGTCGTGGGCTGAGTTATGTCTTGTGATCGTTGGGGGTGGCGTCAATTATATACGAGCTGATTGACTTGTTTGTACCCCCAGTGATCATTCATGCAATGTCCTTCTTGCTTACAATACAGTCTGTGTATTGGTTCATCTTCCTGCTGGCTCTATCATTCTTGTTGGGCCTGGTCACTGGCAGAACAATAACTTGTTTTACAATTAAATCTTCATTATGTAATTGGATCCTTTTCTTGTTAATTTTTTAATATTTTAAAAGGAGTGAGAAAGTATGTGCAACAAACAGCCAAAAACAACTCCAAAATCCTGAAACCAAGAAAGTGCAATACTAGACAAGAAAATCTAGAAAAAAACATCACCCTTAGAATAAATGAATGTATTTTATAGTTTCCTGTATATTTGTGAGACAGTAACTTTTTTTTTTTTTTTTAAAAAAAAAGCTGCTTCTAGAGCAGCATGTTTTTCAAAACCACCACTATCTAGTGCTCATTCCTTCTTTGTACATCTTTGATTACATGACCAGACAGTCTCCTATCATTCAGGGCATATTTATAAAATCCTGTGAAATCACAGTAGTTCTGTGACTATAAACTGTGAACTGTCTTATTTGACTTTTCTGCTCAGACATTCAAATAAGTAACAGTGGTAAGATATCAGCCTAGATAACCTACTCCCAAGTGTGATCTGTCTTGCCAGGATTTGGTCAGGCCCAGCATTCCCTCCACTGGCATATCTGCTAGACACTAAGCTACACATCTGCAGTGTAAAGAAGGCACTGCTTACACATCAAATTATGAAATAAAGCATTACACAGAAAATACCTTCTTTTCATTAAAAGCCTTCAAACAAGGTACATATTCTCAGATCCGTTGTCCAAAGTTTTTTCCTCAAAAAAGCACTAGATAATGCAATTGTGGATGTTTGTTTTTTTAAACTAATGTAAGAATTTTTTTTCCTTTAACCATGTCAAGGTAAATCAACATATACATCCTGCATTTGCTTCCAGAATGGTGTTTCCAGAGAAACCAGAGTAACTGTATGTGAAGGAACCTCTCCCGTGACCCCTCCACACAATTACCATTAATTTTTAACTATTAATTTCAATGAATATTTTAGGAGAAATAATATGTGCTGTTTTTAAGGTTAATTAACATAAGCATCCCAAAAGTTTGGCAGGAAGGCTCTAAATAGCGTATTTTCTCTTAAAATGCTATTAAAGAAGCCTATTACATGAATGACAGTATCTGGCATGTTACTGACACAACTTGAGCCTATCCATGAAAGAACTTGCTGCAGAGCACACTGATAAAGAGGAATGGCTTGAGCTCTGAAGATCTTCTGAAGTAATCAACAGAGAAGAGGAGCCAGTTCTGTGATGGGAGAGTGGAAAGGACGTTTACTACAGATACTGAGACCACTGTTTTGTTAAGCATATAGGCACTGAAGGAAGCATTTTATACAGCAGAATTTTCATGTTCCACTATCCCAACAACCGCAGTGCTACACAGCAGTAGCACAGACATGCTTGTGTCAGTGTAAAAGCAATATACACCAGTGCTCACTTTTCTGTACAAGTTCCACCTTAAGCACTGTTGTACTGTTAAAAATACATCTACACTAAAATATACTAGCATGCAAAAAAGGCCATCCTGTAAAAATGTCATCTGGGTGATGGGGAACTATTCCCACTGTTAAATTAGTGTTTCCAAGTTACAACACTGTTGCAGGACTGTAGGTATCAATGAAATGGTGCTTTTTTCAACAGAGTTCAAGGAGTTCCAGGTGATGTAACTACTTACAGATTTAAAGCATGCACCTATTTGTACGTGTTACTAGATCAGACCTTAAATTCCAACATGCAACAAAAAACCTGTTCCAAGTATTGTTATTGATCTCGAGTACCCGTCTATGCCTTTCTCTGTCCTTGCACTTCTCTCGAACCCAGTCAATGGTATGGAAGTCATCGTATGTTCCTACTCCAGGAATTGGCTCGTCCAAGAGATCCAGTAAATGTGTTGAACTGTTGATACTTCCTCCATTTGTCATTGTATAATGAGTTCCTGTGGCAGAGGAAAGACAGGAATTAAATAATTCTGCAATAAGTGAGGTATGCTAACATTCGTAAAACTACAGCTTTCTAAAAATTATGAGCAATTGAGACACTTCCCATAATATGCATATTTTACTTCATCGAGGTCTCTTGGTGTTGCATGTCAGTATTTTTTTCTGCCACTCAACTGTTAAGTTAAATTTGCATGTTAGTGACTTTGTATTTCCATTGGTTAAATATGAATGCTCTAGTCAAATTCTTGTGCTGTTTCCTGTGCAGACTCCAGAGGAACTTCAACAGAATAAAGTGGAACGAATGAGCAGCCTCAACACACACTTAACTAGAAGTTTACTTCAGTTTATGAACTACCACAAGAAAATCTGACTGTAAGAAAAATAACCCAGATAATTAGATATAAATTTCACAGCACTTCCATAAGCTGACAGTTATTTTTAGGTATTATGTATGATTGATTACCAATCTCTCCTACATTTCTAAACCAAACCCAAAATACATTATCAACAGATAATCAGTACAGCTAAAAAGTAACAGAAAGCCAAGCAAATACTTTATTTGTAAAAAAAATACTTATTTCCTTCAGATAACTTGCAGAACAGTCCCCAGTCATAAAAAGTGGGAAATACTGTATAAAGAAAATGTCTTCTACTCTATTTGTGACCACTAGCTGGTTCCCTACAAACAGCTGGAATAACCAACATCCCCAACAGTATTTCTTTCAGTGATTTCGACAGACTGAGAGAGTTGGGGCTGTTCAGTCTGGAGAAGAGAAGGCTCCGAGGTGACCTTATTGTGGCCTTCCAGTATCTTAGGGGGGCTACAAGAAAGCTGGGGAGGGACTTTTGAGGCTATTGGGTAATGACAGGACTAGAGGGAATGGGGCAAAGCTGGCAGTGGGCAGATTCAGGCTGGATGTGAGGAAGAAGTTCTTCCCCATGAGAGTGGTGAGACCCTGGAATGGGTTGCCCAGGGAGGTGGTTGAGGCCCCATCCCTGGGGGTCTTTAAGGCCAGGCTGGATGAGGCTCTGGGCAGCCTGATCTAGTGGGAGGTGTCCCTGCTCATGGCAGAGGGGTTGGAACTGGGGGATCCTTGTGGTCCCTTCCAGCCCTGACAGATTCTGATCTGTTTTAGCAGAGGACTTAGTAGTGTTGGCTTAATGGTTGGACTTGATGATCTTAAAGGTCTCTTCCAACCTAAAGGATTCTATGATTCTATGATCAGAATAAGAAGAGTAAGACGATTACTGAGAATTTTTTCCCTCTTCACAAGTAATCAAGAATTTATTTTTTTTTTTAAGCTTTCAAATCTTATCAATTATGTAATATCTAGGGGTTTTTTTGAGTTCCTATGGTATATTTACAGACCCCAAGTGTAATTTTCTGCTGGCTGGCTGGTTAAATATAGCATGGCCACCATTTGCCCACCCAACACATACTGCTTCTGCAACAGTAGTTGCTATGAAGAGAACATTTATAATGAAGTCAATATAGAGAATGATTTAAAGAGTGATTACTCTCACTTATTTTCACTAACAGGAAAATAATCTGACCAACAGCATATGGCATACCACAATAATTTCTACTCTTAAAGATGCAGGCCCAAGCTGGCCAAGACTTCCATCAGTTCAGACAGGCACTAGAACTGACACTGGGCTAGTTAGGCAGGTGGGTTTTTTTAAGCTGGGTTTTCTTGTTTGTTTTGTTTTGTTTTGTTTTGTTTTAATTTCATGCTCAGCTACTTGGTGTTGTCAGCAGAAGTTTCCAATGTATTGAAAAAAATTCTTCAAAGGACCTACTTTTAAACTTCTAAATGTTACAAATGCTGAACTCACCAACCCAAACAACACACAGTGTGCCTCAGCCATCTACTGTTTGAGAGGTTTTCTTTATGTCTACTATAAAAATTATAAAAATATTACTTATTTTCTTTAAATCTTAAAAGTAGAAGAGAATGCAAACAGTAGAAAACTCCCAACAATGCCAATAGCATTCTCTCATGCTAGCCTGCCTGCCATCTTTCTCACCACATTTTTTTTTCCCCAGACCATGCCATTTTAAAAATGCATTTACTGTTATCTAAATACAGTTTCACACAAAAAAGGGGGTTTCCTATATGCTTGATGCCCCTGATTCCTGCACAACAATGCTTCCTGACTCTTTCCTTGTGTTCAGTGTCACTTATTCTCTCATAAAAATAATGAGAAAAGAAACTTCCATGTTTTAAGACAAATACTGCATCCTTGATAATGAAACGGTGCACAACAGACTTGTATATGATTCTCCACCACATGATTATCTGACCATTACCCAATATTACCTAGAGAACAAATCCACACAGCTACAGCCTCCATAGAGAAAAAGGTACAGAGGACATTGTGAAATATGTTCACTTGATTCGTGTCAAAATAAAATCATATTGGGGCAGCATGGTGAGGGGTGGTTCTGTTGGTTTTGTACAGCTACGGGCCTGGAGAAAAAGCAGGGTGATTAGTTCTGATTTCTTGTTTGTTGTCACTTGGAGTGTTGATGTGCTGGCTTGCATTGATTCTATTAATGGCCACTTAATGTTAAACAAAGGGGAGTTTGTAAAGCCCACGCCTGAAGCCCGGGGTCATCTAAACGGCGAGCTGAGGAAGATTACTGACTGCATCCAACGACCACCAGGTGGGAGCGAAGGCGACTCCAAGAGGTGGAAAGAACATGCTTCAGAGAAGACCTACCTATTCTTGGAATTTATTACATAGACCCACCTGTTAATGGCTATGTATTAACAGGGACAATAAAAGCTGGAGACAAGGACTGTATGGTGTGCTCTTGGTCGAGCAGAGTCTCCCGGCGCACCCAGCGCTGTTTGCTTGCCTTTGTTCGTTTAATACATTTTAAATTTAATTGGAATCTGGTTTTGTGCTAAATTATTTCTGACAACATGAACAGGCTCAAAAGGGTGGCTAGCAGAGTTAACAAGGGACCGTGATTTTCTTATGAAGTTTAAGACCCCTTCTATATGCTATACAGCTGTTGTGGTTTGAGGCTTGG